ACAGTATCGAAAACTTTGGTGAGATCAACAAAGGTTACATAGAGACCTTCGTTCTTTTACCTACACTTCTCTTGAAGTTGTCTGAGAACAAATACCATGTCTGTGGTACTCCTGTTGGCTCTGAAATCACATTGGCTTTCAGGTAGAATTCCTTCTGCTGTAGCGGGTATTAGTCTGTTCAAAAGTATTCTTGCCAGGATTTTACCAGCAATGGAGAGCAGAGTAATACCACGGTAATTTGAACAGTCTGATTTAACTCCTTTCTTCTTATACAAAGTGATGATGACTGCATCACGAAGGTCTGATGGTAATTCACCTAGTTCCCAACAGGGCACCACAAACTCGTGAAATTTAGCATGGAGTGCATGACCCTTATGTTTCCAGACTTCAGGTGGAATTCCATCAACCCCAACTACCTTGCCAATTTTCACCTGCTGTATGACCTTAAGGGTTTCTCCCAAAGTGGGGGCAATATCCAATTCATACTTCATCGGTTGCTGTGTGATGTACTGAATTGCTGAGTCTTGAACTACACGACTAGTACTGAAAAGAGTCTGAAAGTGTTCAGACCATCAATACAGAATGGAGGTTTTAGAAGCATTTGACCATCTGTGCTGAGTAGAGGGCATTGGACCTGGTATGTAGACCTGTATGCTGTTTTCAAGGCCTCATAGAATCCTCTGTATCTGCGCATAATTGAGTTTTTTCAACTAGATTGATCTACCACTTGTTCTGGATGTCACGGAGTTTCTGTTGGAGCTTGCTGCATGCAAGATGAAAGGCTACTTTACTTACATGACAGGATGGCAGTGCAAGGTGTGCTTGGTGAACAGATCTCTTCTTCCTCAAAAATTCCTGGATCTCTTGATTGTTTTCATCAAACCAGTCCTTGTTCTTCTTGAAGGAGAACCCTAAGGATTCTTCAGAGGACTGCAGGATGCTGTTTTTAATATGGTGCCAAAGTGTTTCAGGAGAGACATCTATAGAATCTATAGAATGGTTTTTGAACCTAGTTCGAAGATTTACCTGGAATCTGTCTCTCACTGTGACTGATTGGAGATTGTTAACTTGGAGTCTCCTCCTTGGGATACCACCCCTTTTAGTTTTGAACTTAAGATTGAAGTTTACAGCGCACAAGTCGATGGTCTGTTTGACATTCTGCGCTGGGCATCATGCGGGTATGGTGGACATCATGGACATCTCTCCGTCGCACCAAGACATAATCGATGAGATGCCAATGCTTAGATCTAGGATGCATCCAGGTTGTCTTCTGACAAGTTTTTCTGTTGCAAGATAGTATTAGTGATGGTGAACTGTTGCCCTGCACAGAATTCTAGCTGAAGGCAACCATTATCGTTGCAGTTTCCAACGCCATGCTTGCCTAATACTCCTTTCCAGGCTTCAAAGTTCTTTCCTACTCTGGCGTTGAAATCACCAAGGATAATGATCTTATCATCTGCAGGAACCTTTTGGGTAAGGCGGTCCAGGTCGGTGTACAATTTATCTTTTTCGGCAGGATCAGCTTGGGGGATTGGGACATATATACTAAAGAGGACCATATGTTGCTTGTTGTATAGTGGAAGGCGTAGGGAAATAATGTGGACAGAATGACCTGTCGGCCGATTTTCGAGTTTAGGAACAATAGAGTTTTTAATCATGAAACCAACTCCTGAAAGATGCCTTTCGATTCTGGGTTTACCTGACCAAAAGAGTGTGTAACCGGCGCCGTGTTCTCTAAGGCTACCTTCCTCGTGGAGATGAACTTCACTGAGAGCAGCAATGTCGATGTTGAGACGTGATAGTTCGGTGGCAATTAGGGCAGAACAATGATCAGGGCGTCCACTATCCACAGAATCAGACATGGTTCTGATGTTCCAGCATGCTAGAGTCAGTTTAGGTACACCTTTGGAGGCAGGTGTATGCCTTTGTCTCTTGATCTTTGTGTGATCGCATTAGAAGAAGATGCCCGTTGGCCGCGGTTAACCAATCGGATGAAGGGGGAGATGAGGTTTGGTTAGGTCACCTTTTCTAGGCCCCTCTCTGAGTGGAGCAAACAGTGCTCTCCTTGAAAAAGCTACTTGGACATTCAGGATGCTGCCCAAAGGGACTGTCATCTCCCATCAGTGTCTAACAACAGCAAAGTAAGATAAACTAAACTAAGATAAACTGCCCTGCCCTGCCCTGCGCTGCCGCACCCTGTTTACCTGAACTCCCTGGAGCTGTTTAAATCTGTCGCGGAGTTCCCTGGTAATGCCCACGTAATTTCAACCTCATGCACCAGTTCCTAATGCGTCTCTCGGCATTTGTCTGGGTTTCCCTGACTCTGGGAAACCCCTGCCCTTCTCTTTTTAGTGCTCAGCCCCCAGAATTTACCGTAGTCACCGTTGCTGTTACTTCTGTCGCTGTGTTGCTACTGTCGCCACTTACCTCACCTTCTGACTTCCTCAAGTCTACCCAAAGATTAAAAAAAAACATCTCATCTGTTGCTGTAGTGTTATTTTTCATCATGAGAAATACCACATGAATGCAAATAAGAACAATATTTTCAATATTTTCAAAACCAGTAAATGTTCCATTGTTGCAACTTCCTAAGTATTTATTTAAGAGATAATTCAAGAGTAAGATGTCAGTACGATCTCTTTAAAAAGTTTTGAGCTGCCTCTAATATTTCTAGAAACAAGGATGCAACCTGTATTTCCTGAGTGGTAGTCCTTGCCTTAAAAAAATTAGTAGCTAACAGTTTCTGCTGTACAGTATACTGAGACAATGTAAACGATTGTCTAAAGAGGCAGTAATTAGAAGTGTGTGTGTGTGTGTGGATGGGGCATCACAAGAATAGGATTTGATGCCTGCTCAACTTGTGCTAAAGAAAAAAACTCGGGAGCAGTTAATTGAGGGTGAGATAAGGAAAGGGTTTAATTGTGCCAAGGCAATAGATGTTACAAGACGCGTGCACAACTGTGCCTGAGACATTACATTTTATAATAATATCTGTCCAATCCCAAGTGTTTCTACCCCGTAACCTTTGCTCTGGTCCACCTTGGGTCCACCCCCTGAGAATTGGGTCTAGGGGCTTTTGGGAGCACCTACTTCATCATTCTCATCATCTTCAGAGCACAAAGGGTACATAGTCACCTAGTTCTTGACTCTGTTCTGTTGTTCAGGCCTAGATATGGGTGTTCTCTAAACAGTATAGACCTTGCCTTGACAAGAGACTAAACATTTCTACTGGATTCAGGGGTAGGATTGATATAGGGTGTATGGAATGGGATAAGAGGGTTGAGGAATGTGTAAACTACTTGTGCTACAGGGTAAGGGAACGAGGGCTGCTGCTTTTAAAATCTACTTATAAAACTTAAAAAACTTACAAAAATTAGAAAAATAAAAAACTAATAGGGGCTTAAGGCATCAGAATCTCTGGTGGAAGGGTATAGCCAGGTCTTCAGTACTAGTGATTGAGTGTGGTATCTAATTTGAGGAGGGGAAATGGAGTAGTGGAAAGATCTTGGGAATCAGGATGAGTCAAAACAGGGCTTCCCAACATTGTGGATTTTATTGGCAGAATATAGAGTTGTTCCTGATAGTCAAGAAAGGGTAAGATAAACCCATTTCATATCCTGCTCTCTACATACAGAAGTTATAGGACTTCTCACAGAATGTACTAGGGAGAGAAAATAAGTAGTCTGTGCAGTCATCAGTAAAGGCAAACCTTTCATATGAATTGAAGCTTTACTAGAAGTATCCATTCTCTTTTTCATCTATAGGTCAGTACATTGCTTAATGATTTTTAATATTTCTTTAAATATATGATAGAAATTTGAGCTTTAGAATAAAGCTGCTCTCTTGTTTTGTGCTGAATAAAGTACGTGGGGACTTGTATTTCAATTAGTTTTTGAGTGTTGGTAGTAGTATTGACCTATGATGACCTAAAACAGAATGACTAATAATAATCTCAGTCACTGCTTTCTGAAGATCAGTATTCCTCAGTAGATGAATCGGATCAGATAAATGTTTACTTTGTCTAACAAGAGGAGGCTGACCCTATTGGTCCAGGCAATAGACTCTTCTTTTTTTTCTTTTTTTTCCCACACCAGTATTCCTTTTAAGCCAAAAATTATAGCTCAGAATTATAACTGGGACAGGTTGAAAAGTTTTTCTGTTTTTCTAAGCTTTTTCTGGGCTAACAGTTATGGGGAGCTGGTTTAATTTGAGGAACAAAAAATGTCATGTGATTAATTGGAGAATGCTTTTAATAAAAAATGTTGTCTTTTAAAAATTTCCCTAGATGTACTCAAAGCCTGAAATGGGTGCATGTAGAAGTAAAAATTCATATGTTAAAAAAAAAATAGAAAAAAAAGAGTGGAGATAAGGCAGGGAACAATAGAAAAAAACTCTAAGAGAATTAGTGGTTTTTTAGATAGTAATGAGTGGGGGAGGTTGGAATGAGTTTACCTAAAATTTAAAAAGAGCCCCAAAAATCCAGAAGTTGAAAATTAACTGTCAGAATCAAAGTTAAGGAGGTTGTTTATGTTTTGATTTTTTAATATATATATTTTTGGTTACTTAAAAATGTGTGACTGAAATGGCTAATTAATGCCTATACACTGATCAGTAAGCCTTCATCACTGGACCTTATTGAGAATCTTTTTGGTATTTCCTTTTTCTGTAGCTAACGTGCTTTCATTGACTATTTTCTAATAGTTGATATTCTGAACCTGCAGGTAATATTTTTTTTTTTGATGGTGTGTTTTTTGTTTCATCTTCTCTGAAATGATCCCTTCTCTACCTGCAGTGGACTGATAAAATTCCTAGGAAATGCACTGCAATTATCTGAATTACATCTTGATCTAGGAATGATGTGCTTCCTACCAATCTCAGACTTTTTCTGAACAGAGATATATGTACAAATACATATTGAAATTATGTAGGTTATATTTAGTGTGGTTTTATATAAACATGGAACAACATAACTGTTCAGTTTTTCTGAATTATTATTCTAGGATCAAGACAACCTTTAATCCAACAATCTCAACCTCCACCTTATTCATCACCTAGAGATGTTCCCCCAGACATATTGTTAGACTCTCCAGAAAGAAAGCAAAAGAAACAAAAGAAAATGAAGTTAGGCAAGGATGAAAAAGACCAGACTGAAAAAGCTGCAATGTATGATATCATTAGTTCTCCTTCCAAGGACTCCACTAAACTTACATTAAGACTCTCTCGTGTAAGATCTTCGGATATGGACCAACAGGATGATATGCTTTCTGGTTTGGAAAACAGCAGTGTGTCAGAGAGTGATATTCCTTTTAATGTGCAGTACCCAGGACAGACTTCTAAAACACCCGTTACGCCACAGGATGTTAACCGCCCATTAAACTCTGTTCAGTGTTTGCTGCAGCATGAACAGACAGCTTTCCTTCAGGCACAACAAGTGCCTGTTTTACAACAGAACACTTCAGTTGCTGCAAAACAACCTCAAACTCCTGTGGTACAGACACAGCAACAGGTTTCGCAACAAGGAGCTATATCGTCATATGATGAAGTAGAATTGGATGCATTGGCTGAAATTGAGCGGATAGAACGTGAATCAGCTATTGAAAGGGAGCGATTTTCAAAAGAAGTGCAAGATAAAGGTAAAAGGATTGTGTGTGTATACACTATATATATTATGAAAGTATATATATGCATATAGACCCCATATATATATAAAGCCTTCCTGTCATTGTCACACAGTACAATTGTGTTTACTCAGTGTAGGTGGTTCTATGACATTCATCACCATTCCCCTTAAACAATGAATTATAATCTCTCATATATACATTTTTTAAATATCTAGCATTCTTTATTTGGGATCTTAATGGACGGAAAGGGAAATTCTTATGTTTCAAAATTCTTTTTAAGCTACCCTTATTTTGAACCATGAGACTGAATGAAATACCATTGACATTGTTTATAGTTTCTAAAAACCCATCAGTACCATAAGTAAAAATGTGTAATAAGTTTTGATAGTTTAACTATTAATTTACTATGTTGCCTAACTTAAGAAAATACAGGAAAAATCTTTTATGCCATTTCTATTCATATCCCAATTTGAACCTCATGTGAAGGAAGTATTAGACTAAAATCATATCTACTCTTTTAAAGACACTGTAACGATTGGGTAATATATACTACTATATTGTCTCCAATGTTTGTTCAACTGGATATTTATTATTATGTTGGCATTACAAGTTTCAGAGATCTACCATATATCTATACAGTCTCTAGCACAGAACCAGATAAACCTCTGAATTGTTTACTCTTCAGTAGCTTTACTGGTTGTCTTAACTGATTTCATTGATTCTATCCTCTTCGATTTTTTCTTTTCTTTTTTTTCTTTTTCAAATTTTTTCTCTTTTTTCCTATTTTTCTTTTTCTTTCTTTTTCTCTTTTTTTTTTGTTGTTAACTACTTTGAAGGTCTTAGACTTCAGAAATATCGAAAGTGGATGCAAAACCCACATGTAAATCTTGAAGATGTGTTTTTTAAAGTAGATAGTGATAGGTTAACATAAGTATTTTTCAGAAACTTCCCCTTACTGTCTTTAACTCCTTCTAAAAAAAATTCTTTTATAGTATAATGCTAATTTGTTAGTGTAGTGGGTTGACCCTGGTTGGACGCCAGGTACCCACTAAAACCACTCTCTCACTCACCTCTGCAACTGGACAGAGGAAAGTACAACGAAGGATCCATGAGTTAAGAACTGGGAGAGGTCATTTACTGATCACCATCACTGGCAAAACAGACTCAAAGTGGGGATATTAATTAAATTTATTACTAACAGGATCAGAGCAAAAGAGTGAGAAGTAAAAATAATCTTAAAAACATCTTCCCCCCACCCCTTCTTCCTTCCTTCCAAACTCTACTTCTTTCCCCCCCCAACAGTGCAGGGAGACGGGGAATGTGGTTTATGGTCAGTTGTTGTTTCTGCCACTGCTCAGAGAGAGGAGTCCTTCCCCCGCTCCTGTGGGGTTCCTCCCACGGGAGACAGTCCTTCACAGACCTCTCCAATATGAGTCCATCCCACAGGCAACAGTTCTTCCCAAACTGCTGTCCTGTGGATCGCTCCTCCATGGGGTGCAGTCCTTCTCAAATGAGCTCTGCTGATGTGGGTCCCCCACGGGGGCCACAAATCCTACCCAGGAAAAACCTGCTCCATCTTGGGCCTCCCACAGGGCCACAGCCTCCTTTGGCATGCTCCAGCATGGGTTCCTCCATGGGCTGCAGGTGGGTCTCTGCACCCCGATGGTCCTCCACGGGCTGCAGGGGCCTCAACTCTGGTGCCTGGAGCACCTCCTCCCCCTCCTTCTGCATTGACCTTGGTGTCTACGTTGTTGTTCCCATGTTCTCACTCCAGTCTTCCCTGGCTGGAATTTTTCACTGCGCAATACCTTTCTGTTCCTAAATATGTTATCAAAGAGGTGCTACTATCACTCCTGATTGGCTCTGCCTTGGCCAGTGGCAGGAAGCCCGTCCTGGAGCTGGTTGGCATTGGCTCCACCAGGCAGGGGAAGCTTTTAGCAACCTCTAACAGAAGCCACCCCTGTAGCCCCTCTCACTACCAAAACCCACTACAGTTAGACACTCCCAATAAAAATTGGCAGAGTGGAAAACAGCACAAATTCTGGTTTTAGAAGTTCATAGGTAAAAATGGTCTATTTTGGGCATACTTGAATGGAGGCAACTGAATTTACATCTGGTTTGGGTCTTTAACTAGCAGAGAGTGAACAAGTTTTCTCCCTATTCAAAGACAATTTTTTTTCTGTTTTTAAAGATGTCTGGAGACAGTGTGAGAAAGAGTATTTGTTGAATTTGTGTGTGTGTAAATGTTCTTGTTGCAGTTATTAAAAGGATTAACTTTTTAGGTATTTCTCATTTGTTAGCTAAATCAAGTCTTGTTAGAAAACATTGTGAATATACAGAGAAAACGGGTGCTCATCTTGAAAGATATCTCTATTGCCTTTAATTTTGATTTAATGAAATGGTGGAATTGGTTACTTTGCTTACATTTCTACAAATTTTATTTACGGCGAGCTTGTGGTTTGTCTTCTACTACTTAAAAAGCTACTTTTATATCCCCATACTTTGAGTAGATTCTCCAGCACATTTTAGCTGAGAAGCATCTCAAAAAAATGCACTGTATTTTTGATGGTGTACAGCAGTCTTCACTTAGAGTGAGGCTAAAACACTTTTGTTCTGGCTTTCAGGAGATATTGAGCATTAGTTGGGAAGTTTATTTACCATAATTACATAGCCATGGGCAGACTCTGATTTGTTTCTTTTGGGGAAATGAGTGATTTTTATAGAATGTGATCTCTCACCACTGTTCAATATCCATATTACCAATTAAGGATTCCAACCTTATGCTTCCCTTTGACCTGCATCCTCTGGCAAGTCTCAGTTCTTCCTGAGTTCTTGCACTTGCTGTGGATCAGGTGCAAGAGTTGCTACCTTATATTGGGCCAAATGATCACCATTTATTCACTGGTAGTAAGTTGCCCCTATGCCAGACAACAATTCTTTTCACTTTAACTGCTGAGGTTTCAGCTATGAATTAATAGCATTGAGTAGAGGGATTTTTAGCAGTCTTGGGACAGATTTCCTGAAAGGCTGTTACCTTGGAGAAATATGATTCTTTTTTTTTGGTAACACTTTTGCTATTACTTGTAATTTTGTACTATGTCTACAAGTTGATACACTCTGGGATTGTTCTAGTTATAGTCATTTGGTTTGGTGTGACTGCAGGAGGAAACTTCCTCTATTGTTCCTATGAGAATATGTTAGAAAAATATCCAGTAACTCCTAAATATCATTCATTTTTGTGAAGTTGCTTACTGTATTTATGCAAAAGCCTGGCATTTGTGCATTTTAGTACATCTACTGTAACTTCAGATCACATTATATCAAGAAAAGAGTATGCTTGTAGCACACAGTCTAATTAGAACAGGAACATATAGTGCTAGCTGATGCTGTACATAGCAAGTGTCCCTCTAGAGATTTTACTCTAGATGCTAGCACATGGTAAAATCTGCATGAAAGCATCTGCTTTTGAAATGCTTTTGAAAGCATTGCTGCTTTTGTAATTGAGGCATGGGGATACATATTACAGTCACACTACACTTTCTGTGTGGGCATGTGTTGTCTTCCATAAATTACTTTGAGTAGAATTGTACTCACAAGTTTTCATAGAAGATTAGTGATCTCTTTTGTCATTTTTTAGAATCATAGAACCATAGAATGATAGAATATGCTGAGTTGGAAGGGACCCACAAGGATCATCGAAGTCCCAACTCCTGGCCCTGCACAGGACAAACTAAGAATCCTACCATATGCCTGAGAGCCTTGTGCAAATGCTCCTTGAACTCTGGCAGGCTTCAGGTTGTGACCACTGCCCTGGGGAGCCTGTTCCAGCACCCAACCACCCTCTGGGGGAAGAACCTATTCCTAATATTCAAACTAAACCTCCCCTGACACTTCAGGCCATTGCCTCGGGTCCTGTTACTGGTTACCACAGAGAAGAGATCAGTGTCTGCCCCTCTGCTTCCCCTTGTGAGGAAGCTGCAGACTCTGATGAGCTCTGACCTCAGTCTCCTCTTCTCCAGGCTGAACAGACCAAGTGACCTCAGCCACTCGTATGGCTGACATGAAATCTCTACAGTACTATACTTCATCAGAGGTTTTCAGATACTTCTTTTTTAACAATAAGGCTTTGGATGGATATGACATGTTCTTATTGGGGTTGGGAACCAGTAGTGTGGTGGAACTGTTTATTCCAGAGGAGAGGCAGTGATATTTTTCTGGGAGGTTATTGCTAAAAATTATGCAACTACTACACTTGCCTAAGGCAATGCTAAGGTCTTTTTTTTTAATGCTGAGGTGCCTTTATAATGTTTAGTACAGGTGGGAAATGAAGATTGGAGTCCTTTGGAAATTATAGGACTTTCTGTAATAAATTCCTAATTCTAACAAAACTGTTAAAATATTTAACTCCCACCAAACAAAGTCTCTCAAAGTAGGATGCAGTCTCCATTCCAGAGGTGGAACTAATACAGGGTTTTGCAGAAGTGCTGACTTTGAAAAGCAGCATTGTTTTTCTGGAACCTTATAGCCATGCTTTTGCTTTCTGAAAAAGGAATTCTAAGTGCAAAAATCACTAATACAAAATCTGTCAGATTTGACTTAATGTCTCTCAGATATGCATAAGGAGATATTTTAGAATATAGACCTTTTGCCTACATACTTGAGTACTTTTCAGAGCTCTGCTTTTATAATTCTATCCTTTTGGTCTATTTGGATCTTGGATTAAGTGGATTATATGGTCTTTTCATCATTATAGAGAACTGCAAAATTTGAAAATTTAGTTTTGTCCTTGTCTTCTGTGTGGAAGGACAGAATTCCATCTCCTCTTCCTACTTTTTCCATAAAGAAAGTCTCTCTGTATTGATTAATTTTGCAAGTCATTTGTCTGTATTTGTTAATTAAAAGAATGATTGCAGAGTTTGGAGATCAAGGCACTCAGCACTGAAAATTGCAGTCTAATTCATCTATTATGTTTAATAGCTTTGTCACGGAAAACTGGGAAATAAACTCTAACC